TATTTGTACTCCTTTCAAACTGAGCCTTTGGGTCAAAATATACATCTTACCAATGAAGGCAAAAAAACCCGATCATGGGGATTAAGGTGGTGGAGGCAGAAGGGTAGCGGTTTCTCAATGGTTATATGAGAGTTCAGGTGGAGGTGGATTTGACAATCACTGCGAGTCAATGTTTTTGAACTGCCATTGACTAGAACGGTTGGACCGTTTGGCCCGAGAACCATCTAGGCAACCGGTTCCATTTTACCCCAAACCCGGTCCTTCGCCAAAAATCGTTGAATTAGTCAACGACTCATTGACTTGGGTGATCGAACCACCGACCCGTTTGACGTATTCAACGATTTTTGGTTGTTTTATTTTATTTTGTCAGAACGGATTGTCTGTTCAAACTGGACTGTCGAACCATTGACCCAAAGACCGGTGGCCAAAATAATTCCAGTTTGGGTCAGTTTTTTAAACATTGTTGCAAGCTACAAAAGGTTTCAAACTGAAAAGAAGGGAGCGCACTTGATGGGTTCAGTTTTTCTATGAACATCTAAATAATTCTTACAACTACAGACCTTTTGTTAATTTAAAGGGTTTGTTGCAAACTTGCAATGCACACTAAAGCTGCATTTGGTTGTAGTGAAATTTTATTTGTACTAGTACAAATGTATAAGAGTGCAAATGAAAAAAAAATGCAAGTTCCCGTTTAATTTTGTTTTGGGTTTTAATTTATATTGTTTAATGTCTTAATTCACTTTAAAACCAAACAAAATAAGCTAAAATTTGAAACAAAAATAGGTTAGAATTTACACTCAAATCATTTGCACTATCATAGTTTTGCATCAATAAAAATTTATTTGAATTGCAACCAAATACAGCCTAAATAATTAACCTTAGTCCAATGCGTGGCCATTTTTATATGAGTTTTAAGGTGATTCTTTAAAACAGTCATCATATCAAAAGGGAAGAAGGAAGAAATGCTCCAAATACAAAAGAACCACTAAGGAATTGGTAAGATGAATTAATTGGTAGGTTAATTAAAGAAAAAAGGTTGAAGGAGTCAAACTCTATTCATATTCATTAATATAGTTTAATAATTTTCCATACTTAAATGCTGATTAAAATCCAAAAAACATCAACACAAATGTTTTGTACACCTTGATACTTGGATTGTTCCTATATTTTGAATCTTGTAAGAAATTGTTGTATTTTTAGTGGTTTTGAGGGAAATTCAAAATATATAAATCTCTCTCTCTCTCTGGTTTTGTCATTTATTTATTTTGTCTTTATCTCTTATCCTAGCCTCCTCCCACTTTGCCTAGGAAAATATGTGTTGTCCAAGTTATAAGTTACCTTGTTATCTCTATGGGTAGAAACCCATTAGAACACGCTATACATTGTGTTCACATATTTGTGTGAAGTTGGGGGTGCTTTCACACCTGTGCACACATGCCAAACCAATCCGGGCCAGGATAGGTTGAGATTTGGGCATGGGTGTAGGTGCAAGTATACACGCCACCAATCTTATCCATTTTAAAACAGCTATGTTTTAAACATTAATCTTTTTTAACCGTTGCCTAAGGGGAAACACATTTATCTATTGAAGTGCTTTTGTGTTTGTACATTCTCTATAAATAGGGAATTAGACAACACGATGACACACAATTACTGCTATTACATTATTTCAACACTATCATCCTAATAAGAGCACCATATCTAAAGTGATTCAAGGAGGACTGATAAGTGAGTGCACATCCACTGGAAGCCTATAATTTGTTTCATCTTATAAACTGATTTGAAAAACCCAATTGCACTACAAGGGGTGAATGCAATTTTAAGAAGAATGACCAAGTGGCATGATTCAGGTCATTTTACACCATTTTTGCACTTCCAATTTGCAATTCACAAGCATCTTTTGCTGTGTTTCACACCTCAAACTCTTTTTTTTTGCGGCTTACATGGGTTCAAAGAGTGCAAAAATGGTAAGTTCTATTCACCCTTTTCTACCTCTATATTTACAATATTTTGTAGTTGTCTTTCTAGATGTCTTGAGAAGTTTTTGTTGCTTTTTAGTTATAGGTATTTCTAGTGTCATGTGTTGGTTGTTTATTTGTGCATTTGTCCCTTTGTTGGATTTTGATGAGTACCAAAAAAGTAGAGGAATTCAATTTGGATAGAAACATATTGGAAAGAGCAAAATCTTTGTGTATGCACACACGTGCTCAAAATGCCTCATTTGATGATTTTAATGGTTAATAAGTTGGGCAGATTTGGTTGGATCCAACCCATTTAATTTCAATTAAATGCATCATTAATGGGTTGGTGTATCATATGGTTTGGATTGAAGCTCAACTCAACCCCCAACCCGCCTAATTGCCACCCCTAGGTTGGATAAAGAAGAAAAACAAATAAGCCCTAGTGTGGCCCTATTACTTGGTGCAGAATTTATAAGCATACTCTGGTCCAATAAAGATGACCTTGGGAGGGTTCAGCTACCATATCTATATTTATACTACTTTTAAAAGTAGGAATGAGAGTGTTGAACTTTTGTTTGACTAAAATACCCCTATTTTTGAATTTGGTCCCCCGCTAATTATGAGGGCAAAATGTAATTTGAACTACTACTTTGCACCTCCTCTAGTTTTTTTCTCATTAAGTCTTATATTTAATACACTAACTCCCATTATCTTTCAATGAATCCCATGTTTAATTAAAATACACATATTTTTGAATTTGATACCTCTTTAGTTGTGAGCGGACAAAATGTAACATGAACTACTACTCTTGACCCTATTCACATCCCTCTCATCAAGTTTTATATTTAAGGTTTTAACTCCTATTCTTTATGATTGGATCCTACATTTAATCTACTTTTCTTCGCCAATAAATTCTATCATTAATATATCCAATACTTTTAACAATATAAAACCCATTATTTTTAAAATTGACCAAGAAATGATACTATTTTTCTGTCTAGTAGCAAGTAAGCATTTCAACCATCCAGGTTAGATGGGTCACCCATGATGTCATAGCTAAATAATAAAACTTTCAAAATAGAAATAAATACAAAAGATATAAAATATATACAAAAATTTGAGCACACCTATATTGTTTTATTTTAATCAAATTAAAAAAAAATAAGTGTGATAAATAATAATTTTTTATTGATGTTGGGAATGAAATACAAATCTTAAAACTGGCCCAAAATGAAATTAACAAAATTTTTCTCTTATTTGGTGGCAGGTCAACAATTCAACCTTTTGGGTCAAATGTGTTAACCATTCATGTCAAAATTAAATAATAAAATTGAAAAAAAAAAGATCAAAACACAGAAAAAATGGAAATACAGAAATTCAAATATATTTTATACTAATATTTTTAAAGAAAAATAAGCGTGATAAACAAGAATTATTTTTTATTAATGATGGAAATGAAATACAAAATTTAAAAACCAACTCAAAAATAAAATTATTTTCCTATTTCTCAACAAGTCAACAATTCAGCCTTTCAGTTCAAATGTGTCATCCATTGATATCATAATTAAATAATAAAAATAAAAAAGATAAACAAAAAAGAATATGAAAAGAATACACAAATCTTGTAAAAAACATTTGGGCACATATCCAATATTTCATCATAATTATCATCTAAAATTGAAAACATGTTAATAGTTTATTACTATCATCATCATAATTATCATCTAAAATTGTCATGAGAGTATACATACTTTCCTGTATATAATAAAGTCCAAATAAACCCCAGGATTGCATATCTAACCGTTGAATGAGAAACCCCATACTCCCGTTTAGACCTTAGAATCAATTGTATCTCATGATCTATAAGTGCAAAAATTTGGTTTGGTAGGCCATAACATTATTAATCTTGACAAAGTCGCTTTTCCTTACCAATGCTTTTTCACTCCGATGTTGTCATTGAGACGTCGACTTTAAATGATATGATTGTTGTTGTTTACTGAGAGATAAATTTGAATTTAAGGGCTAGTTTTAAATAAAAAGGAAATATGATCCCTAAGTTTTTTCTCTTTTTTTACTAGTGTAAGGACATATGTTTTGCATGTGTACAAAGCTAAAGATATAAGTTAACTTTTATGACATGCACCAAAACCAACCAGGGGAAAGCATCCACTTTATATGGTATAGATTGTTTGTGATAAAGAACATTATTGCTGGTCGCCTGGTCCCTCTTGATAGAAGTGTTAATTTTGACCCCTTTCATATCCTTCTACACTTGGGATTCTGTTTCTTTAGACCTGAGAGAACTTGAGTTCGAAAAGGGCTTTCTTTTGCATGGATCGCCACCAATCTTACCAAGAATTTTTGCAAATATCCAGGAGTCTTCTGCTCTCAACTTAAGCGAAGTATGCAGAGGAGAACGATTGTACTCCCTCTTCTGCCCTTTCTCACAGGGCTTCAATTTCATCAAACGATCAAAATAAGAATAGAATGACACTAACACCCGATCCCATTTTAATCAACGAGCATAGGTAACGGTATGGAAGGTACCGATATCTCGAGCTCTGGAAGTGGTATAAATTAGTTAAAGATTTCTGAAAACATGGCTCTTTATTGAGCACAATGGGGAACAACAGGATTTATTTGGCCAACCCCAAATAGTTTAGTAGACTCGAACCAGACAGTTTTGAACTGGGGGCTTGGTGAGTTTTCTAGGCCTCGGTTTATTTTAATGGCACATACAGGTTGACCAATGCAACCGGACATTTAACCAGCAAAACCATGACCCAGTTAGTTTTTTCTTTCAACTTTAATTTGACAACATTGACCACAATGGCGAGTTTAATTATACCGTAGGATAGGGAATCATGTAGAACAAAAGAGTTGGAACTTGGAAGTTCTAACAAAACCTAACATTCCAGGACATTGAAGACTGTTAGACACAATAATGTGATCCAACAACCAGTCCATTTGCAAAACCAGATAATTCTGCCATTCAAGCATCCACGAATAACTGTTTAAGACGAAGAACGATGTTCTCTCTCTCTCTCTCTCTCTCTCTCTCATGGATCGTTGAGATACAGCTGCAAACACGCAGGCAAGCTGGCCTAATGGGAACCCCGTCTTAATAGAGTAACAGGCACCAGGTACGCATCTTTACATGCATTACGTCTGCAACTGTCGAATTTTAGCTGCAACTCTTTTGACCTGATTAACATGCGACCCTTTTCAATTTCTTCCTCCTGGAGTTCTTCCATATGTGTTCATCTCTCTATATTCTGAATCACGAGGTTGCACCCCGAAATAGAATACGGTCACAGAAAAATAGGCACCATGTTTAACAGGTAATCCATTTGAAAACAAGATCTAACGTGTCCGAGTTTAGTTACCAATAAATATATGAATTAGAACGACAAAGCATCTCTTAAAAACATCTCTATTAACCAGACCAAAACAAAGGTAATCATACTACCTTTCTCTCATCAATGTTTCACAATCCTTTCAAATATATTTCCCTTCACAAATCTACAACACTTATTGGCCCGTTTGAATCCCACATGACAGCGTTGTGGCTCCACAGTGGAGCTTTAAATTTTTGCCTTTCTTTGTTAGCTTGCATCCTCTATCTAGAGGGTAGATGAGCTTCTCCAAAAGTCAAGCCATCCCATTGCCCCTAAGCAGGTTTTCCAACCAGTTACTGATTTTTCCTATCCTCTCAACGAATTGGATGATACTGAGTAATCCCACGCTTGGGAGGAAGCTTCCTTAAAATGAAAAGCACCAGAGAAGAAGGCAGAATCTCCACCAACTGTAAACAGCATAGGAAATAAAAGAACAAAACAATTAAAAAAGCCATACTGCTACTTCAGCCTTCAGATATTAGACTTATTGGTTGAAAACTAATTTGTAAAAAAGCAAGGTCATAATCAAGAGCTTAAGATGCCCGACTCACCAAGAGGAAACACTAGACATCTAAAACAGAAGTAATCTCTAGGAGAATACATGACAATCCAGCACCAACTATTATGCCAGTCCTTACACTGACAACCAATGTGTTCATTCCTGTCAAAGTAATGGATCAACCTAGGGCAGGTCCTCTTGGAATAGCTACCAACCAAACTCTGCTAGGTGGTTATAGCAAATAGCCAGAAATCGACCATATAATTAGAAGTTGAATACAACATTGGAGAGTGAATATTAAGGGAATGAAAATCACTATCCTACTCCAATGTATCAATACTCCAGTGCAGTATACTTTCTTTTCCCCTTATAATGATCAAAGCCTCAGGAACCCAGCACTGCTAAATTGGGCATCTTGGTTTATTTCAAGATGGTAGATACATTTTCTCCATTTTCCTATATCCATTACTTGAATATGATCACACCTCTAAAAGAATTGGGAATAGAATATTGCCTGCCTTTCCATAAAATAACAAAATCAACCTTGGTGGCAGAATGCTGCCATTCCCTACAAGAACAGAGATAGGGTTGCCAAGATGCTATTTTACCATCTCAATACTATTTTCCTTGAATACATAGTAATCAATGTCCTAAAAAAGCTACAAAACAAAACTTACCAAGTAGTACACTAAGTTTAGAACTGGGTGGTTCAAAACATCAAGGTCCGCAGCTTTATCAAATGCGTTGAAGCACATCTGTAGCATAAGAAAATTATAGTCAACCTTAGTTGTTTGGATAGACTAGTAACTGATTATCATAATTCAATACATCTACATGTACTGCTTCAGTAGTACTGATGTGACTGTTGCCAGCAATCAGTTGAAAACACAAACTTGAACCATCATTTCAACCAATCAAAAGTAGTGATAGAATCCTAGGTTATACTGCTAAAGCAGGAAAAACATTGTCCACAAAGAGAAAATTTTCTCATGTGCATAAAGCATGATTATGTAGATCAGATCCCATTTGACAAAGGACTTACCATAATACATCTCACTAAGAAACATGAGAAACATATAGTGGTTACATAGCCAACCTGTATAAGACAGAAAACAAATAGAGTTCTTGACACCTGAAGATTATGGGCATACATTTGAAAACTACTATACAGGACAATAATAATACCTCCTGTAACTTTTTGCGCCGCCCCTTTGACTCAACAGGAAACCGTTTAAGCATCAAGAAAAGCCTACCACGCGATGCCAAAATAATGAACAAATGAACAAGTATTAGAATTCACCAATAACGTGGATTCAAAAGCTCAAAAAAATTAAAAGATTACAAATAAGCCCAGAACAAAAATCAAATATTTGCATCTTCCTGATTGGATGCTAGCATAGCTCAAGAAGTAGTCATAATTAGAGAAAACAACTTCACACACTGAATAATCAAGTCTTCCACCATGGATCATGTACCAGAACCAATGGAAGATACAGACCCAGATGATAAGTTAATAACTACTTGTAAGATATACAGAAAATACAGGGGGACTAGTTTTACTCCAATCCAATTTTGACAAACAGAAGATCAGCTAAGAAGATAATTAAACAAATATGTTTGACTTGGTTTCCTTTTTTTCCTTACCACCTAGGAATGAGTTCATTTTTTATATGACATTGCATTTTAAGTTAAAAGACAAAAAAAAAAAAAAAAATTGCTTCCATATTATCTGGAGTCCTCAAAAGATGTATACATCTGCCAAACTTCCTTTTTAGTCGGCATAATGAACTTGCATACTCTGGCCTCGATCAGATAATCAATGATCAATATTGCAAGGGTGTACATTTATAGGTAAATTGTTTGGTTGGATGCAAACAATTATGCAAGTTCAATTCCTTGTATTGACATAGTTTAGTGCACTTATGCATGGAACCATGTGGTCCCAACCAAAAACCATAGTCACATAATATTACTGGAAAAGGAAAACTGAATCATAAAAAATTACCTCCCTCCATAGAGAAGAAACCCAAGAGCTGCAAACAATGAGACACCTGCCAAAAAAACATAGTAAGGTAACAAGAATGGAAGCAGTTAAATGTGGCTAGTAACCTAATATGATCTTATTAAAAGAACCAGTTAGACATAACATATAAAGAGCTTCCCTTATGGACATAAATACCTGCAAAGAATATCTTGGACAAGATACCCATAACTGGAATGGGCTTCCACCACAAAATCAGCCATAAAACTATCTGCCTCCAGTTCAAGGAAAAGGTCAATCAAGTAATTCATTTCAATAGCAACAGGCAAGGAAATTGACATTCCAAAGCACAAGATCAACCACAAATCTGTGCCCATTTTAAATAAAAGACCAATCACGTAAGCCATTCCAACAGCAGTAGACAAGTAAAGAGACATTCTAAATTAATCATAATTGTACTTATATCCTCAAAATGTTATGTATGACAGTATGAGTATACCTATGTAGTACAACTGATCTCACTCTGGTGCATTCAAATGTAAAGCAAAGCTAATATTATATCATGCAATATATCAAGTGTCATCACAACTCTTCCAAATTGGTTATGTAAAAACTTTATGGGGATATATGATGCTAAGATACTGATATAGATCTAAACACGTGTGTTAGAGACAGGGAGTCGACCTAACATCAGCAGAACGTAAAACTAGGAGACAGACATGGGTATGAGTGCAGTATCAAATTTTTGATATAAATTCATCCTCCTTTTTATTGCTCTTCTAATCAACAAATTAAACACTGTTTCATTTAATAGCCAGGAACATTATTGGATAATAGTTCTTTTTATTAACATCATATCTTTATAATGTACTCAAAGAACTATGAAATTTGAAAGCTAACTACAAACGATGTCCAGAGCAGAAAATCCTGGAAAGTAATACCCCAGTTGTAAACAATTATTTTAAGAGATGTCATGAGGCCAGACACAGCATTCAGTGTCTATTTTTATGCCCTACTCATTATATTTTTTGGTGGGCAGGGATTTGTTTCTTAAATGATAAAATTCTCTTTATTGTTGATCGGGAAAATTTTATGATTACCCAAAGAGCTTTGACCACCCCAGTGAATTTTGATGAATACCACCTGATCAGTATGATACATTGATTAGTTGTACGTTTTTCTTTTCTCTTTTTTTTTTTTTATCGGCATGTTTTTTTGGTATCATAGTTGAGCACTTGTTGATGATCTCAAAAAAAAATTATTAACCACACAATGAAACTCTGAATGAAATAATTAAGCAAGTGTTATGGAATTATAAATAATAGTTGCATTGTGGATATCAATATGAGAGAAGATGTAGAAAAGCATGGCTAGTATTTTGGGATGCTCAATGACCCAATAGCCATTGAGGTACTTAGGTCTCTACCTAGAAGGTAGAAAGGTAAACTAGCCACCTAGAAGAGAAGCTATATTTCATCGGGTTGGGGGTAGCCTTAATACACGCAACTCTAGCTTTTTTTTTTTTTTGATAAATAACTCTAGCTAATTTGCCTATGTATTACCTCAGTTCCTAGAACTCCTGTGTTGGTGGCAAAAAGAGGAAAAAGCAATGAGTGACTTTTTATAGAAACCAAGGGATTCTAAGAAAGAATTTAATTAAGTGGGTAAGTATGCAAAAGAAAGGAATGACATGGATTAGGCAACTTGGTTAAGAGGAATTTTGTTCCTCTTGGGAAATGGTTGTGGAGGCTTCCAATGCACTTAGACAAGCTGTAGTATAGTGTGGTAAGCAGTATACATAGGGTATTGGCTAATGGATGGGATGCAGAAATCTAACATAATGTTTCTTTGACTTCATCTCAGAGACTCAGACAGCTGTATCTGCAACAACCTATTTCCACTTTTCTTACAATTTGTCGAGTATGATGTTTGTTTTGGGAATAAAACGAGGTTCTAGAAAGACATGGTGAGGGTTCAATTTCAACTTACAATTGGATAGCAGAGTTTGACTCTTAGGTCCTTTGGTTCATTCTCATGTACTTCCTTTTCTAAAGTCTTGCCATCTTCTTCAATCCTACAGCAGGCTTTTCCAATCAAAGAAATCTAGAGTGGACCAATTCCATAAAAAATTAGGGCTTTGTATTAGAGGTATTCTGTTTGAGAATTAACATGTGAAACCCTTCAAAATAGAAGACCTTTCTGGTGCTTATGTCCACATATTTTTTTGCTTTGTGATACAAGTGGTGAAACTATCTATCATTTATCACCTACTAATCCCCTGCCTGTTTGTTTCTTATATTTGGAAAGAGTTCTCTTTATTTGATTGCAGGTGGGGCCCACCATCTGGTGTGCAAAGCCTCTCCGCACCTTTCCTTTTCATGTTGCCCAAGAATAGAAGAAAGACGGTATGGGAATGTACAAAGACAGAAATATTGTAGATGATATGGAAAGAGAGATGCTAGAATATTTGATGATAAGCATGGTCGAGGAATTGTGGACAGCATTTCAATCAAAATGGCGCATTGGATTAAAACCTTAGAATCTTTTGCCCCTTTGTCCAAAGATGGCATCCCTAGGAGTTGACAGCACATGGCATCCTCTTCCACAACAAGATCTACTCCCTTAGGGCAATGGAACCCTCTAACACATAACAGATCAAGTTAAACTTTGACAGGTGCAACATGGCTAATCCTAGGCTGAGGCATTGGGGGAGTTCCTAGCAAATAACAAGAGATTATGTTAGCCACTTTCAAATCCAGTAGGCATTAGACGTTCTACAAAAGCTTAAGCTTAGCAGTATTGTGGGGTTTGAGGTTGAGTAGAACGACTCAACATCTGGAACATAGTGGTAGAAAGGGACTCTAAAGTGGTACAAACTTTAGTGAAAGTTTTTGGTGATAAAGAGATGTTATAAGAGAAATAAGGCAACTAGAAAGGGAGCTGGCAATCACCTATTCCTGGGTTCAAAGGTCAGCAAATTCAGTGGCTGACAAAATGGCTAGACTAGGGGTGAGTAGGGCTCAAATGCATTGGGATTACTTGTAATCTCCATTAATTGAATCTACAAAAAGGAATGAGATAAGTGGTAAATGTAAGCCTATATTTTGGAGTGTTGGCACTTGTTGTACATATTCATTTTTATCACTCATAATCAATAAAAATTTATTTCTTATCAATCAGGAAAAAAGGGTATGGCATGAAACGTGTCAGGAAATCAGCTTGGTTTTATGACAAAGAGATAAACCATGGAAGCGATCTTTCAATTAAGATGATTCATGGAAAACTTTCAAGAGAGAAGTCTTCACATGGTATTCAATAGTCTATGAAAGGCATATGATAGAGTCCCTAGAAAGATAAGTGAGTTTTGGAAAAAGAGAGTACCAAATAGGTATATGATCCTAATTAGGACACCTATGGTGGTGCAATGAATAAAAAGCTAAACTTCATCTGAAGAATCCAATATTTAATATCAATTTAAGAGTATCATTTACTATTTTTTTATCAGCAAGAGTATCATTTACTATGCTATATGGAAAGAATGTTTTACTATTGTATCGGAAGTGTAGAAAAGGGCTTATAGTCCCCCAAACAAAATGGAAGAAGAATATTTCCAAATAACAATAATGAAGCCAGGGCCAAGAATCATCCCTCCAGGGAAATACACACATTAAAAATAACAAATCCATGAGCTTCTCTATTGATCCACAACCTAAGCCATGTGTTTCTCTTTTTTAGTTTCCTTTTTTTCTTTTTTTCTTTTTTTTTTTTTTGCTTTGATGGTAGAACTGGAACACAAAACAAGAAGAGTTCATTTACAACAAGAAATGGAAAACTATACTACTCCATAATAGGTTGCCAAAATTCCCTCAATTTGCACCCCAAATACCATACCCACCCAAATAAGAGAACCACAAGAAGATCCTGCTGTTCCTATTACTTCTATTATGAGGCAGATGATCCAATCCTTGTTTTCTTCTTGCTCTTCCCCATCATCATGGTCCTCATTCTCATCATCATCATTGTAAAAATTTAAATAACTTCTTAACATCCATGCCCTCAACCTAAATTTAAGTAGGTCCAATCAAACTTCCCAAATTCAAGGACCTTAACTAATAATACTCCATAATTTAGGAAAAGGAAACTTTAGCGAAGTCCACTTTAGGTAACAAGATACTACTACTTTCCAATGCATTTATTATTTTTCAGTCATATTGAATGTATTTATTCCTGTTAATTTCAAGATCTCATCATTTATTGCGTCTGAAAACTTGGTAACTTGTATCAAAATTAATGAAAAATAATATAAACTGAAAATTTGTTATAATAGTTAAATATTGATGTGTTAATAAGATTCGTTGAAAAAATAGCCCAATTTTCCAATATTTCAAAAAAAAATCACTTTAGTTCTAGGGTACTAACTGGTTGGAATTTCCATAATTTATAACTATTCCAATTTCCACACCTCAACTCAAGTTCTCCTCTAAGCTCTAAAATCTCCAAATTCTAGGATACCATAAGCAGATTAAACTAGCTTACACAAAAAACAGAACGCCTTCTATTTTCAACACTCACGTATTTCCCCTATCTTAGCACTTGGTTACTATAAAAAAAATGGATATCAAGATCTCATTTTATGAACTAATATTATTATTACCAACGAAAAAAATAAAGAAAATTGAAGAAATTTTCCAAATTTAGGAGATGTAAGATGTGTGCACAACCTATGAATCCCTTGTTTCTCTCTTTTGGTACCTATAGCTGATGTGCACTGTTAACCACTGAATTTAAGAAAGATCTTGATACATTGAATCGAAAAATCACCAGATCTAAAAAAAGGTCGGAGATTTTAAGTCAAAATATCATGATTTATGAATATAAAATGGTTAACAATTCAAATCATGAATCCAAAAGGTTTTGATTTGAATCTCATGTATAAATCCTTTTATTGAAGGAGATCATATGATTGCTATTTGAACCTTGCAATGTGTACACAACGTGATTTGAATCAATTCAACAAACCTAGTTCTCTATTTCATCATTCCTTTGCTCTTTTAAAATATATTTTTGAGAGGTACTCTTTTGAACATATTATTGGAATGAGGTTTATTTAAGCTATTGAAGACCTACTTAAAAATCTTGTAAGTTTACTTCCTGTAATGCTAGTTAGTGGCATGTGCAATAGGGGTGAGATAGAGTGGGTGGGGAAAGAGAAAAGGAACTAAAAGTTTTTACATGGTAGCCTAGACATAAAGCCAAGGCAAGTATCTCCATTATATAGTAAAGGTGTAGATTAAAGGGCTATTATATCCAGGTTAATTGATTTTGAAGTCAAAATCAATTATATCACCTTGCATTCTAGTGTACAAGCAGTAAAAATTTCTGTATCACATATATATTTGGTAAATGTGGATTAAAGATGGTGTAATTACCTCAAGTTTTTAGTGTATGTGTTTTTTAGTTTTCTAACAGATTTCTAAAGAACACGGATAAAAAAAAAAAAAAAAAAAAAAAAAAAAAAAAAAACAGATTTCTAAAGAACATAGAAACAATCTTATGCTTTACAGGAAATTCGCGAACTGAATTGATTTAGCATTCTCTATGATTTACGATACAACTACACTTTCCGAACATTAATAACATAAGACAATATAATCTTGGGAAAAATAATATATCACTTTTTGGTAAAATTTTGTTATCTTGTTCAGTAAAATTATGGTGGGCCCCCAAGAAAAAATCCTGGATGCCCCTGAGCAAACAAATAATTTAGTGATTCACCAATTCCATATTTGTCATTGAGGATTGCATGCGAGGAGATTGTATAATCCAAAACATTTTTCATCTCTAAGCATATCAGAAACGTTGGCCTTTTTGAATGCCACTTCCAGCCAAAATTCTTAATCTTAGTAGGGGCAAATCAGAGGTTAATGAACATTAGACCAAAATGCACAGAGTGTTCTCACAAAGAGAAAATTAACTGTCTCATTTTTCCCCATACACATAAGACCTATATTAAGCAACAATGCTTTAACACTTGCATTCTTTGGAGCACATAACATGTATTAGTGAACCCTCTAATTGGAAAATCCTAAGCTTTAGAAGGAATAGAATGCAGCTCTTTCTTTTATTGGAAACGGTAACCTCATTTTTTTTATAATTGAAATAATTTTATTAATCAGCAATAGACAATAGTACAAAGTCCCCAAGGAAAGGCACAAGTTGCAACCTCTCCGGGCTAGTTAAGTAGAGATTTCCAAATTAATAACAACTTACAAAGAAGCACAAAAAAGATCTTCCCTAGAAACCCCCTGTTTGGCTAAAGCATCAGC